TTTACCTTCCGTCTTTTGGTGATTTATACTTTCTTTTGTTGTGTCTTTTTTTTTTTCCTCTCTTTGCCATGCTTCCTCCTATTTTTCCGTTTCTTCTTTCCATTTTGGCCTTTTATTTTTATTTTTACATCTTCATCCTCTTTTGGCATTACTTTTCGTTTTTTTTCTTTCTTTCCTCTTGTTTCTTCGTCATTTTTCTGGCCATTTCTTAGCCTTTTTTCTTCTTTTCTTTTTCCATTTTTTTTGGATCCTCTTGCTTCGTGGATCTTTTCACCTTTTTTTTCCTTCTTTTTCCGCTAATTCCTTTTTATTTTTTGTTCTTTACCTTCCCAACATTTAAATTTTCTTCTTTTTCCTTTTTTCTTTCTAATTGCTTCTTTTCCTCTTCTTGGTGTTTACTTTTTTTGTATTCTCTCTGTTCTGTTTCCTTTTTTGTAAATTTGTTTTTGTATTATCCTTTTTTACTCATCAGTTGATTAATCAAGTCACCGTTTGCTGAGCCCTTTTTTATTTTTAACTATTTCATTTTCGTCAAATGGGCTTGTGTAATACGATAGTGGTTTATCCCTCGGTTCTGGTGAGGCGCCCCTTTTGTGCTTCGAATTAGCCCCCTTGTACCTCGCTGGGTGGGCTGGCTTTTTGGGCCATGCCAATAGCCCAGACACCTTCTCCGTGCTAAATATATATATTCTGCACGAGCATTGTGTCTTCTTTCGTCTTCGGGGAGTCTCGGGACGCCACACTTGTGTATCACCCCGAAACTTCCCTGAAGAAGAAGAAGAAGGAAGACGTAATAGTCGGGTAGAGCATATGTTTTCGGCGCAGGGAGGGTATTTGAGCTACTAGCATGACTTTAAGACCAGCCTGACCGGCGAGGTTCAACGGCCAAGTCAAAAGTGGTTGACCTCTAAAATCGGGAGATAAACAACCATCGTATCCCACTTGCAGCCATTTCATGCCAATATTCACCAAACCTTCTCCGTATATTGTGCATGCTCTTTTAGGGTCCTATGTCTTCCTACTTCTTCAAACAAATACCTGTAATACGATGGTGGTTTATCCCTCGGTTCCGGTGAGGCGCCACTTTTGTGCTTCGAATTAGCCCCCTTGTACCTCGCTGGGTGGGCTGGCCTTTTGGGCCATGCCAATAGCCCAGACACCTTCTCCGTGCCGAATACATATATTCTGCCCGAGTATTGTGTCTTCTTTCGTCTTAAGGGAGTCTCGGGACGCTACATACCACAATGTTCTAATATGAGGAAGCAATGCAAATAGGATTTACATAAATTAACTATATTTACATTAACAAATATGAGTGTGACAAACTTTTCGGTTCTTTGCTTTTTGTCCTCCCTTTCCCAATTGTCAGCCTCAGATGTGAGGGGTACTTTTGTGGTGCCGGCAATGCCAGCTTAGTACTTTTTTATTTCTAAAGTCACATTACTCGCTTCGCACGTTTTCTGACATTGAATGCATGCCCATTTCGTATCCTTTGTAAATTTTTAACTTGTGTTGTTTGTACCGTAGCGTCTCAAGACCTCCCTGAAGACATAAGAAGACAATGTAATACCTACGTTGTTTTAATGTACCTTTCAGGGAAAAGGCAAAAGAAAATTAGAATCTCGTGGTCAGATTGTCTTCTCCTGTACCTAGTGACTACAGCTCCCCTCCTTCTTGAACATAGTATTTTCCCTCCCCTCTTGTCACCTTTAATAAAGATGTTCAAAGTGAATCAACCGGGCTTGTCTAAGAACGCAAGGAATAGGGGAGCGGAGACCGATGAGTCTCGCTTCACAATAATAATGGGACAGAATATACACATATATATCCAGCACAGAGAAGGTATCTAAGCTACTGCATGGCTTGAAGGCCAGCCCAACCGGCGAGGTACAAAGGTCAAGCCAAAAGTGACTCCTCACCTATGCATATGCCGGTGTATCACAGCAAAATATTTCTGTTTTTTTCTGCTTGTGCTACACCTGTTTTTTGGTCTGTTTTTGTTCATAGGCATATCTGTACAAATGTTATATCCCCTCATTGTGAGCTCCCCTACTTACGCGGCTTGTTCGATTTCGTGGCTTATCGTTTTGGGTTTTTTCATCGTTGAATGTACACTTGAAATGGGTTTAATCTCTTTTTCTCTTTCTTTATGGACCACCTGTTTTGAATCTGTCTTAGCAAAACTTATAATTAATCCCCGGAAAATGTCTTCGCCCTTTCGAATTTTTGCTTGTACTGCTTCGTTTCCCAAGCATTCGAAGAAGTAGCATCACTTTTTATTTGCCTCGGTCTAGTTGCCATGTTTTTTTGCTTTAGGTGGGGCTCTTCACATGTCTAGAGATGGAAATATTTCTCTTTACGTTGACCACTCCACAGAAATCGTTGATCATATCGCGGCGTTGTTCAAAACCAAAGATTTTACTGACATTACTCTAATTGTGGGTGGTACGCGATTCCCTGCTCATCGTGTGATTCTCGCCTCCAGATGTGAATATTTTCGGGCCCTTCTTTTTGGTGGCCTTGCAGAAACACATTCTTCCATAATTCATCTTAATGGAATCAGCCCCTCGGCATTTTTCCATGTTATCGAATATATTTACACAGGAAAACTTTGCATTTCTAGCGTTACTGTAGGCATTTACTTGTTTATCCTAATTCTTTGCCTAACTTATCCTTACTATGCTCATTTTTCTGTATTCTAGATAGAAGACGCTTTTGACGTCCTCGGTTTAGTTTGCCAATACAACTTCCCCGATCTTCAAAACGACCTCACCGCTCACTTCATACGTTCGTTAACACTTCAGAACGTCTGTCAGATCTATGACTTAGCCATTACATATGATTTGGAAGACCTTATTGACGCATGCTTGCAAACTATAGACCGTTCGCCTGCCGTGATTTTAGCCCATCCGCAATTTTTGCATCTTTCAAGAGTATGCTTCTTACCTCTTGCATTTTGCTAGTTATTCAGGATATTATAACAACTTGAACGACTTTGATTTCCTATTATATATTGACTAAATGTCTCTTTCCACTTTTTTTTATCTTTCGCTCATAATTAAATGTCACTGAAGTCCGGTTTTCCAACATCGAATGTACCATCATTTCACACAACTTATGCGATGCCGTCTAGGTTGTTTTGTGTCAGTGTGGTAGTTTTTATCAATATGAGATTAGAACTTTACGCAAGCCTCTAAAATTGTGCATTCTATTTATCTTTATTGCACTATAACTGATAATATATAGGTAGTATTATTTAAAGAATTAACTATCATCGTCAGGCTTCAGTTGTGCGAATGTTCTCCCGGGACAGTTTCTACGTTCCTGAGGTTGAAGTTTTGCGTGGAGTTCAGGCTTGGTTGGAGGCGGACTATCATTCGCGGTTCGAGAAATTTGCGGCTCTCATTGCCTCTTCCTCTTTACCCTCGGTATCCGTCTCATCCGATGATCAACAGCAACAGCAACAACTCAAGTTGCAAACTACTACGGCAAATACTTTTTTGCTTCCTGCACCTCCTTGTTCTCCTGTTGCCCGAAAGATTCAGCTCACGGGACATGCACTCCTACCCAGCACGCGTAGTAACTCCTCAGAATCCCTCTTCAGTTCTGCAAGCACCCCTGACTCAGTTACCAGTGGTGGTATGTCCATTCGACTTTCGTTATTTGTTATAACTTCATTTCGGTACTGATCCTAAATTAGGATTCTCGACCTTCATATTTTCAACTGATCTGATTTTAAACCGGATTTATATCAAACTGGTGCTAACAGGTTCCGAGGTTTTGTACAAAAGTGTTTCTATAATTTTTAACTCACATTCCAGAGACCTCAATATGTCTGTTGTCAGTGTTCCGCAATATGATTTAATTAAAAGGAAAAACAACGGTACTTGGCCTCACATTGAAATAATAGGACATGAATCGGGGTGAACACTATTTCTCTCAGATTCTGGTGGCAAACAGGGTATGAAGCTGGCGCACATTAGGTAACTGACAGGTTGATTGCACTCCGGTTTCGCGTGTTCGTTTGTGAGGTTCTACTCTATCATCTGGGTCACTTAGATGACAAATTCTGGATTCGAGTTATTTGTTTAGTCAAGGACAAGTTGACCAAAATGTAATTTATTCTGACTATACATGACTATGATTGGAGTCAATTAAGCGCTTAGCTTATTGTGTTACTTTGACTGGATCGAGTGATGTCTTCTCCGTTGTATTGCAGGTGCAAAATCGAAGACGAGCGATGCGGGCCAGGCGACACTAGAGGAGGTGCGTGCCCACTTGGACCGCGAGACTGCAGACGCACGATCTGAGTTGATTGGGTGCATCCGTTTCGAGCTGATGTCCCTAACCGAGCTCTCCACTGAGGTCAGAGCTTCGCATCTTCTCTCTCCCGATGACCTCCTTGACAAAATTGGTGCCAAAATGAAGGCTACCTTCAGTCAGCTGCCCATCAGAGGCCGTTTACGTACGTTAAGTTACCCCCTTAACAATGTTCCCATTATATTCATCCGCGCTTAGTGAAATTCTAGCTTGCTACAATATTATAATGATATATGATTGCTTATAAAATCGCAACCCTGCATTTGTGAGTTATGCATTTGGATATTGCCCGTGTATTTCCTTAGATGAAGCAGGATAGTACCATCCGTTTCCACCATTTCACGTGACTAATTTCAATACAAAAGTATCTTTTTCTACCAAATTTATCAGTCAGTGATAATGCTGCTGCTTTTTATTATCCTTAGCCAATCTATCATGCGATCTCACAAACTAAGCTGTTCATTCAAAGAGGCACTGACAAAATTCTTAATGCTAATTTTGCCATAGTTATTCATGCAAAAATTTCTACCAGTGGCTTTTGCGTTCGTACGATCTCTCTTCATCCTCTTTTGGCATTACTTTTCGTTTTTTTTCTTTCTTTCCTCTTGTTTCTTCGTCATTTTTCTGGCCATTTCTTAGCCTTTTTTCTTCTTTTCTTTTTCCATTTTTTTTGGATCCTCTTGCTTCGTGGATCTTTTCACCTTTTTTTTCCTTCTTTTTCCGCTAATTCCTTTTTATTTTTTGTTCTTTACCTTCCCAACATTTAAATTTTCTTCTTTTTCCTTTTTTCTTTCTAATTGCTTCTTTTCCTCTTCTTGGTGTTTACTTTTTTTGTATTCTCTCTGTTCTGTTTCCTTTTTTGTAAATTTGTTTTTGTATTATCCTTTTTTACTCATCAGTTGATTAATCAAGTCACCGTTTGCTGAGCCCTTTTTTATTTTTAACTATTTCATTTTCGTCAAATGGGCTTGTGTAATACGATAGTGGTTTATCCCTCGGTTCTGGTGAGGCGCCCCTTTTGTGCTTCGAATTAGCCCCCTTGTACCTCGCTGGGTGGGCTGGCTTTTTGGGCCATGCCAATAGCCCAGACACCTTCTCCGTGCTAAATATATATATTCTGCACGAGCATTGTGTCTTCTTTCGTCTTCGGGGAGTCTCGGGACGCCACACTTGTGTATCACCCCGAAACTTCCCTGAAGAAGAAGAAGAAGGAAGACGTAATAGTCGGGTAGAGCATATGTTTTCGGCGCAGGGAGGGTATTTGAGCTACTAGCATGACTTTAAGACCAGCCTGACCGGCGAGGTTCAACGGCCAAGTCAAAAGTGGTTGACCTCTAAAATCGGGAGATAAACAACCATCGTATCCCACTTGCAGCCATTTCATGCCAATATTCACCAAACCTTCTCCGTATATTGTGCATGCTCTTTTAGGGTCCTATGTCTTCCTACTTCTTCAAACAAATACCTGTAATACGATGGTGGTTTATCCCTCGGTTCCGGTGAGGCGCCACTTTTGTGCTTCGAATTAGCCCCCTTGTACCTCGCTGGGTGGGCTGGCCTTTTGGGCCATGCCAATAGCCCAGACACCTTCTCCGTGCCGAATACATATATTCTGCCCGAGTATTGTGTCTTCTTTCGTCTTAAGGGAGTCTCGGGACGCTACATACCACAATGTTCTAATATGAGGAAGCAATGCAAATAGGATTTACATAAATTAACTATATTTACATTAACAAATATGAGTGTGACAAACTTTTCGGTTCTTTGCTTTTTGTCCTCCCTTTCCCAATTGTCAGCCTCAGATGTGAGGGGTACTTTTGTGGTGCCGGCAATGCCAGCTTAGTACTTTTTTATTTCTAAAGTCACATTACTCGCTTCGCACGTTTTCTGACATTGAATGCATGCCCATTTCGTATCCTTTGTAAATTTTTAACTTGTGTTGTTTGTACCGTAGCGTCTCAAGACCTCCCTGAAGACATAAGAAGACAATGTAATACCTACGTTGTTTTAATGTACCTTTCAGGGAAAAGGCAAAAGAAAATTAGAATCTCGTGGTCAGATTGTCTTCTCCTGTACCTAGTGACTACAGCTCCCCTCCTTCTTGAACATAGTATTTTCCCTCCCCTCTTGTCACCTTTAATAAAGATGTTCAAAGTGAATCAACCGGGCTTGTCTAAGAACGCAAGGAATAGGGGAGCGGAGACCGATGAGTCTCGCTTCACAATAATAATGGGACAGAATATACACATATATATCCAGCACAGAGAAGGTATCTAAGCTACTGCATGGCTTGAAGGCCAGCCCAACCGGCGAGGTACAAAGGTCAAGCCAAAAGTGACTCCTCACCTATGCATATGCCGGTGTATCACAGCAAAATATTTCTGTTTTTTTCTGCTTGTGCTACACCTGTTTTTTGGTCTGTTTTTGTTCATAGGCATATCTGTACAAATGTTATATCCCCTCATTGTGAGCTCCCCTACTTACGCGGCTTGTTCGATTTCGTGGCTTATCGTTTTGGGTTTTTTCATCGTTGAATGTACACTTGAAATGGGTTTAATCTCTTTTTCTCTTTCTTTATGGACCACCTGTTTTGAATCTGTCTTAGCAAAACTTATAATTAATCCCCGGAAAATGTCTTCGCCCTTTCGAATTTTTGCTTGTACTGCTTCGTTTCCCAAGCATTCGAAGAAGTAGCATCACTTTTTATTTGCCTCGGTCTAGTTGCCATGTTTTTTTGCTTTAGGTGGGGCTCTTCACATGTCTAGAGATGGAAATATTTCTCTTTACGTTGACCACTCCACAGAAATCGTTGATCATATCGCGGCGTTGTTCAAAACCAAAGATTTTACTGACATTACTCTAATTGTGGGTGGTACGCGATTCCCTGCTCATCGTGTGATTCTCGCCTCCAGATGTGAATATTTTCGGGCCCTTCTTTTTGGTGGCCTTGCAGAAACACATTCTTCCATAATTCATCTTAATGGAATCAGCCCCTCGGCATTTTTCCATGTTATCGAATATATTTACACAGGAAAACTTTGCATTTCTAGCGTTACTGTAGGCATTTACTTGTTTATCCTAATTCTTTGCCTAACTTATCCTTACTATGCTCATTTTTCTGTATTCTAGATAGAAGACGCTTTTGACGTCCTCGGTTTAGTTTGCCAATACAACTTCCCCGATCTTCAAAACGACCTCACCGCTCACTTCATACGTTCGTTAACACTTCAGAACGTCTGTCAGATCTATGACTTAGCCATTACATATGATTTGGAAGACCTTATTGACGCATGCTTGCAAACTATAGACCGTTCGCCTGCCGTGATTTTAGCCCATCCGCAATTTTTGCATCTTTCAAGAGTATGCTTCTTACCTCTTGCATTTTGCTAGTTATTCAGGATATTATAACAACTTGAACGACTTTGATTTCCTATTATATATTGACTAAATGTCTCTTTCCACTTTTTTTTATCTTTCGCTCATAATTAAATGTCACTGAAGTCCGGTTTTCCAACATCGAATGTACCATCATTTCACACAACTTATGCGATGCCGTCTAGGTTGTTTTGTGTCAGTGTGGTAGTTTTTATCAATATGAGATTAGAACTTTACGCAAGCCTCTAAAATTGTGCATTCTATTTATCTTTATTGCACTATAACTGATAATATATAGGTAGTATTATTTAAAGAATTAACTATCATCGTCAGGCTTCAGTTGTGCGAATGTTCTCCCGGGACAGTTTCTACGTTCCTGAGGTTGAAGTTTTGCGTGGAGTTCAGGCTTGGTTGGAGGCGGACTATCATTCGCGGTTCGAGAAATTTGCGGCTCTCATTGCCTCTTCCTCTTTACCCTCGGTATCCGTCTCATCCGATGATCAACAGCAACAGCAACAACTCAAGTTGCAAACTACTACGGCAAATACTTTTTTGCTTCCTGCACCTCCTTGTTCTCCTGTTGCCCGAAAGATTCAGCTCACGGGACATGCACTCCTACCCAGCACGCGTAGTAACTCCTCAGAATCCCTCTTCAGTTCTGCAAGCACCCCTGACTCAGTTACCAGTGGTGGTATGTCCATTCGACTTTCGTTATTTGTTATAACTTCATTTCGGTACTGATCCTAAATTAGGATTCTCGACCTTCATATTTTCAACTGATCTGATTTTAAACCGGATTTATATCAAACTGGTGCTAACAGGTTCCGAGGTTTTGTACAAAAGTGTTTCTATAATTTTTAACTCACATTCCAGAGACCTCAATATGTCTGTTGTCAGTGTTCCGCAATATGATTTAATTAAAAGGAAAAACAACGGTACTTGGCCTCACATTGAAATAATAGGACATGAATCGGGGTGAACACTATTTCTCTCAGATTCTGGTGGCAAACAGGGTATGAAGCTGGCGCACATTAGGTAACTGACAGGTTGATTGCACTCCGGTTTCGCGTGTTCGTTTGTGAGGTTCTACTCTATCATCTGGGTCACTTAGATGACAAATTCTGGATTCGAGTTATTTGTTTAGTCAAGGACAAGTTGACCAAAATGTAATTTATTCTGACTATACATGACTATGATTGGAGTCAATTAAGCGCTTAGCTTATTGTGTTACTTTGACTGGATCGAGTGATGTCTTCTCCGTTGTATTGCAGGTGCAAAATCGAAGACGAGCGATGCGGGCCAGGCGACACTAGAGGAGGTGCGTGCCCACTTGGACCGCGAGACTGCAGACGCACGATCTGAGTTGATTGGGTGCATCCGTTTCGAGCTGATGTCCCTAACCGAGCTCTCCACTGAGGTCAGAGCTTCGCATCTTCTCTCTCCCGATGACCTCCTTGACAAAATTGGTGCCAAAATGAAGGCTACCTTCAGTCAGCTGCCCATCAGAGGCCGTTTACGTACGTTAAGTTACCCCCTTAACAATGTTCCCATTATATTCATCCGCGCTTAGTGAAATTCTAGCTTGCTACAATATTATAATGATATATGATTGCTTATAAAATCGCAACCCTGCATTTGTGAGTTATGCATTTGGATATTGCCCGTGTATTTCCTTAGATGAAGCAGGATAGTACCATCCGTTTCCACCATTTCACGTGACTAATTTCAATACAAAAGTATCTTTTTCTACCAAATTTATCAGTCAGTGATAATGCTGCTGCTTTTTATTATCCTTAGCCAATCTATCATGCGATCTCACAAACTAAGCTGTTCATTCAAAGAGGCACTGACAAAATTCTTAATGCTAATTTTGCCATAGTTATTCATGCAAAAATTTCTACCAGTGGCTTTTGCGTTCGTACGATCTCT